CTTTTATTTTTTTCACTTATTTATCCCATGGCAGAAACAAGCTTCCATACTAAACAGCTAAAGGTGAAGAGTGACCCAAGTCATAATTAGCCAGAATACAATATAATCACAGGTGGTGGGATCTTTTGACTTGTATCCACCCAGTACACTCTAGCAACTGCATAGCAACACCCTAGCATTGTGGAGACAACTTACACAAAAAAGCTCCACTCCCTGCTGTTTTCTTCTGCGGTTTCTTATTTTTATAGACTGTATATAGCAAATACAACTTAAAAGGTGAAGGAAAAGATTTTAGTCACCTGTAATGGACACATTACACATGTTAGCTAATAATTTCTTTATGACAGAAAGATAGAACTTTATTGTATTCTCATTACAGTCTCTTTCTCTCTCCCTCTTGCTCTCTTGTCAGTCATCAGGATTGCAGTGAGGGGTGATGGGACATGAAATCGTCCTCATAATTACAGAACACTGATCACTCTGATCCCAGCTGCCGTTAAGAGAAATTTCAGTACAGCAGAAAATTCCCAGAAATCTTTTTTCTACTCTGCTGCCGCTGGTTATATAAATGTACAGCTTAACTCTCTCCTGCAGTGCCGGGTTAATCTACAGCAGGAGAAATCAGGCAAGCACCCACAATGCCGCTGATTATGCAGAGAGCGGGAAGAGTTTGCCGTAAATATGGGTCAAGACCGGTGTTTCTGTAAGATATGAAGAGCTGAATCTATCAGCGGTACTGTGTTCTGTGCTCACTTATTAGTGGTGTGCAGTTTGTAGTTGTGTTGGTTTGCCTCTTTCATCTCATGTCGCGGAAAACAGGATTGCTCTTGGCTCTGTTGAAATAAAAAAGAGTTTGAATAAGTACCATGTGGAAATACTGCGGCATTCATAACTCAGAAATTCATCCCCTGTCCAGTCAGACCATTAATTGAAACGGTCAGTTTTGACATCACCATGAATTCATTAACAACCGCCCATATTTACATTCAGAGTGTCTATTTACACAAAGTGCAAATAGCCCACCTTGTTAGCAGAGGCTATTTAGTTTAACTCCGCCCACCAATGTCTGGTTGGGATAGACGACACTACAAAATATGCCAATTAATTAACGTTAGCAATTAGGGCTGCACAGTTATAACACAAATGATAATTGTCGATTATTCCCTTGAAATTGTAATTGTGATTATTAATTACGATTATCCCAGTTTACGTTGAATGATGTTTATAACGTTGTTTGAAGCAACTGCATGCCATATTTTTATATGAAAATAAACAAGCTGAAAACACTCAAAGCGAAAATCTTTTATTGCTTTTCTATAGCATTAAGGCTCAAATGTCAACTGTGCATTGGATTGGTTTCTTCTTTAAATAATAAAAAAGTTAAAATATGAATGGTATTATAATGGTATACTAACACTAAAATTAAAACAATGGAAAAACCCTTAAGATAACCTGTAGAAAGTAAAAACCCATCTTAAGCACATAAGTGGACTTTAAACGATTAATTGCCACTTTGAACGATTACGTAATTGTGGCATCTGTAATTGTAATTGCGATTAGAAATTCGATTAA